CTTCCCAAAGAGAAAAATGCATTCTTCATCTCATCAGGAAAGCTCGAGGCTGCAAGAAGCTCTAGACATCTAGACTTCCAATGAGATGGGAAGAATTTAAAATATCTGGATGCGCCGGGCGGTGGTGGTGCACGCCTTTAATCCCAGCACTCGGGAGGCAGAGGCAGGCAGATCTCTGTGAGTTCGAGGCCGGGCTGGACCGACAGCCTCCAAAACAATACAGAGAAACCCTGTCTCGTAAAACCAAATATATATATATATGTATATATATATATATATATATATATATATATATATGGATGGATGCTCCCACTTGGCACTCACAGAACACAATACTGAATGCTCAAAACAAGATGGCAGAAGAGGATCACGGGCATTCCACTCTGGATGGTAACAGAGGCAAATAGAATGGGCTGGACAGTGGATGGACAGCAGCAAAAGCAAAAAGAGTTCCCAAAAAAACTCCATGGTGCATAAGGCTTTTGTTCTGACCTCCAGGCATATATCCTAAATGAGCCTTTCTGAGATCCATCTATGCCAATCTCCAGGAACGCCCATGGAGCCGTGAGGAAGCTTCACTCTAGTCTGCTACTTCCAAGTCATGCCATCAGAATAAAAGCCACAAGACTGAGGGTAATCGGGCTTCCATGTCTGTAAAAAAGCATGCCCAAATCCTGCCCACTGCACTGAGCAAGACAATGCACACCCCCGATCTGCCCCCATTCCAAGCTGGCTCTGGTTTCCTAAGCCAGGAAAGCAGATGCAGATGGAATAGAGCAAATGCAAAACACTCCCTGAAGCGGAGCTTGGTACCAGACAAGAGTTGAACCTGAAATGTTCCTAAAAGCTTTTCCTTGAATGCTGGTACCCAAGCCAGCATCTTCTTAGTCTTCTGAGAATGGTATACTTGTGCCCACACATCTGTGCCTCCAGGCAGGTTTGCTTTTCTTCAGAAAGATTATTTAGGAAAGATGTCAGCTGAGTCTCTGTCAATAGGGACCTCTGTCGCCAGAAGGCTGGACCAACTCTGAGGGGGCTCAAATGCAAATTTCAGCTGAGGGATTTGTGGACCAGTCTGAGAAGAGACGTACCCTGAAACTAAGGCAGCCATGGTGGGATTAAAGGGAGGAGCTGGATTTGGTGAGCTAGACTGTCCTCCATGGATAGCAGGATATCCACAAAGTGGATATCCACAGGTCAGGACTCAAGACCACTCATTCAGGAGGAAGGGGTGCATGGTTGTATAATTGACATAGGACACAATGTCTGGGAGCAACATTGTATGTACTATCTTGGGGCTTTGTTACTGGCCCATGAGGAATACTGCCACAATACTTGAGATCCTTCTAGAAAATATCAAAGCATCACTTTCTGCTATGAATCCACGAGAGGTCTAAATTCCCCTGGAACAGAGACCCCTGCAGGCCCACAGAAAGGGCTGCTTTGGGAAACAACCAAAATAATCAAATTATCTTCATAAAGTCAGGTAGCCAATAACAACAATTAAAGGAGAGACTGCAGAATAGAGGAAGGCCAAATGCATTAATATGCTTCCTTCGTAGCAACACTATGATTCCAGCTATAAGACCAGAGCCTGTATGTGAAAAGGGAAAATATGTTGGACATCTACGAGATACTGAGATCCTTGCAAAAGTAATCACTGTAATGGTGTCAATGTGTTTGTTTACTTTTTCCTTTTTGTATGAAAATAGAGCAACCTTAGATGCAAAGAGGTGAAATAACTTGTCCAAGAGCTGGATGCTCAGACCCACAAAAGCAAAACCACCATCCTTCCGGCCTGTGTTAGCCCCAAACACCTCATCTCTCCTCGTGCTTCAGTGTCTGCTGGTGCAAGTGTGATAACAGACACCTACACATCTGAATGAGTGTAGGCTATGGCTTCTCCCTGGGTGTGTAAGATCAAAATGAAACAGAATTCACTAACCAGTTAATGGAGCTGAGGTTTCAGCAAGCAGCTCCAGGAAGCACATGCCAAACAGAGAGTGCAGAGCCCCCTGCTCTAGCTGCCAGTCCCAGCGATCTGGGGCTAGGGGAGGGAGGGGAACACGGTTTTCTGATTTACAGCCAAGAAGCTGGACACCAGGCCGTGCTCTCTATCACAGAAAGCCCTTAATGCCACAGGTCAGAAGGTACTCTCTGCCTGGAAGATATCATTATTGAATAAAAGGGGAGGGGAAGCAGAAAAGGGCATCAAAGCCTAAACAAATAACATCAGCATGAAATCTTTAATGAATGGCTCATCTAGGGCTGCCTCCTAAAATCCAGAAGGTTTAGCAAAAGATGCCTTAAACCCAGTTTATACTGCAAACCAGCCATGAGGAAAAGTCAACACCACGTTAATCCCCATTTAATAATTCAGTTTCAGGATGGTAAAACATATTTCTTTCCTGGAGTGCTTACACATAGAACTGATAACATGGCAACCAAGAAACACCCGGAAAGGGGGATTATTTTACCAACTCTACTAGCTTCGAAGTGCAATGGGCAGCAGTTGACTCTTCCTGACATCTGACTCATCTGCCCAATCTCTTCTTCTCCCTGGCCTCTCCGGACCTCTCCGGGCCTCTCCGGGCCAGGAAAATTCTAAGCTTTGGCTGGGCACCACTGTAAGGCCATCAGTTCACACACAGGTCAGCCTCCTGAAGACTCTACAGAGGGCGCAGGGACATGGGGTCAGGAGGCCCCTCCCTCACACCCTGTGGAAAGAGACACATAGCAGCATTAATGTATCCCTGGCCAGCACCCTCACTATATAGTGCCTGGCATCCATACAACCCTCAAGATGACACCCTGAGTTCCCACCAAATCATTTGGGGCCTAAGAGCTGCTAGATCCTGCTACCAACTAAAATGTTCTCACAACCTCCAGTGTGACGTGCAATCCGTCGTCTTAATCCTCCACCACCACCACCCACACTTGACCTTCTGTAAAGAGCTTTCTCACTACTAATGTTCACCTTGGGCAGCTTCCACGGACACCCTCGACCAACCCACAAGACAGTGTCTAACTCGTCCTTCCTCCCTACCCAAGCCATGAGCTGACCCAGGTTAGGTCCTCTTGTCTCCATTCTTCAGGGCCATCCTTGTGTCCTAAGGGCACAGCAAACCACAGTGGGAAAGTGGATCTTGCCACTCTCCCTGAGGAATGGCACTTGATGGGTCAAGCAAGTAAGAAGACCAAGGGTCAAGTTCATAACTAACAAAAAAGCAGCCCCAGCCTCTCCCTGGGGCACCTCACTCTTCTGTGCCCCCATGACAGCTCCCCAGATGCCTAGGCGGTGCTTGCAACTGCACAGAAGAGAAATTAAAAGCAAATTTGCATCACCTTGGCTCAGTGCTGGAGTGCTCCGTTTTAATTTGCATTTTATTTGCAGAGCACTTGCATATAATATTGTAGAAATGCTCAGAACTCTCCCTCCCCCTCCTCAATCCACCTGCTTCTTTTCAGCTATGATTCCCAGGATTCCTGGGGATGCAGGTACATTACAGAGGGAGTTAGTACCCAGCAGAGCTCAACCACAGAAACTCTTGATGGTCCTGGAGGACCAGAGGATCTGAGAGGCAGCCTGCTAAAGTGTGCTTGTATCTAACGAAACCGAGCCCAGATACCTGCTTTCTTTTCAATCAAGGCAAATTTTCCTCCCTGCCCACTGTGCAAATTCACATAGTGTTGACTCAAAACCAGCAGCTCTCAGGACTGGCTTAACACAATCCAAACCTGTTGAGAAACCATGGGAGCAGACACATTGTGCCATCTGTGGCAACCCCTGGTGCATCTTTTTAATATCCCTTTCCCTCATGAAGTTTCTCAGATTTGGTTCTACTGGGCATCACTCCCACCTGCCTGCCCTCCCACCTGGCACATGCATGGCTGAACATCCAACTCTGCACCTCACACAGCATTTGGTTCATCCCAAATGGAGTCCCAGTCTAAGTCAACACCCCACAACATGCATGTCCTTCTGTCAGCATAATACCATGACACACAATGATTTCTCCAAAACCCACCATAAGATAGCAGGCATCCCTACCTTACAACAGTCTGTCACCATATTGTCATCTGCAAGGATCATGCCCCAGGACCGTGCAATTTAGGTTGTTTATTTTTTTATTACAAAGCAAGGCTCATAAAGTTTTAAGTAAGTTTGTGACCCTGTAATTGGTTGCATTATAAGCACATTCAATGGGCTACAGGTTGGACCCTTCTAAAAGCTTACACAGAACACATGCATACAGAGAACAAAGGGGCAAGAAAATGCTGCTTTGTCACCACCCTCCCCCTATTTACACAGTCAAGTAGCTTCCAACCTGAGGGAAAATACCTTTTAAAAAAGTGAGGACACCTCGCTAAATATGTTCCTGAAGTGTTAAAAATGACAGCCAGGTTCCAAGATGGACTCAAAGGAGAAAACAAAGTCAGCACAGAGCAATAGGCAGCAGGGGCAGAAGGGACATCCAGAAAATGAACACTTTTGCTGATTTATTTCTTTGTTTTCAGCTACCACCAAGTTGCTTCTTCCCTGGAAAGCGCTGACTTTGTGGTGATGAACTGCCTCTCACAGACCACTGAAGAACCAAGATACTCCAGGCCACTCCTCTTTCTCACTCATTACAGGGGGAAACTGCACATTTCGCTCCAGCACAATTCAGTGACCTTCCTAGGGTCATGCAAGCAAACACTTGAACAGTACGGACAACACAAATCGGGGTCTCCTGCTTCTCCCTTTCCACCCCCACTGAGAAAGAATATGATGCTCTGAGGTGTCATTGGTGATGCCCACACCACCACTCTTCAGTCCTGTCCTCCGTACCACCTGCCTGCCCTTGACAGCGAGGCTCCATGCCCCTGTCCTCGGTTTCCTTTTCTGCCTTCCCAAACATGTGTGCCTAATCAATCACTTTCCACCTCACCTGTGCTTTGTGATGTTGATGACATGACAGCATTACTGAATTGTTACAAAGTCATTTTGACACAGTCACTGTGTACTGAGTAGGTCAAGGTTCCTGGGAGAATCATACCCGACACCCATACTGGTAAGAAACACAAGGAGATGGTTTCTCTTTCTCCATGTAAGGAGTGGGTTCCAGGGTTTAGAACTAGGCTCCCTATAAATCCTCATGGTTGCTTTCACCTTGGCTCCTAGGAAACTCTGAAGTAGGTGTTACCTGTTCTGCTAAAAGGATGTCAGTTAGCCTACATCCTTTTTCTTCTTGTTCCACATCAGCCCCCTCATCACTTGGCTGCTGTGATTTTTACTCTTTCAATCATCTTATTGTATCTTTGTTCTTTTAAATAGCCTCCAATCTTCTTTGAAATGCCATAATATAAATAATCATACTGCACTCCCCAAGACTTCTCAAACCTTGAACAAAAAGACAGTGCATATTTCCACAAATCTTGATCCCAAACCAGGGAATGCTGAGCTAGTGAGAAAATCCTTTTTGAGCCAAAATTACAACACAAAACAGAGAATTCCAAGATGCTCCCAAATGCGAAGGTGAATGTGGGACAGACTCCCAGTTCCTACACTTCCTCGGCCAGGGTCCTCCCCTTTATGGCTCACTGTGGCATCCGACTTATTTCTAACATGCTGGCGCTGGGACTGCTCTGTAACTGGCTGACCTTGTACCCACTGTGGTGCTTTGGGTTGTTCATGGATCCTTGTCAAAATTTACAAAAGTGTAAGACGGATGAGAAGTGGGAATGCATTCCTCAGCAGGAAGAGTGGCCAAGAAACCACAAACTGCTGGCCCTCCTGGGATCATGCTGGTCACGGACTTGGCTTCGGCAGCCCAATGACTTCTTCCTCTAGACATTGCCAGAGCCTGTAGGCAGCTATTCTTCACTCAGACCACGGGCCCTCTGGGTCCCCAGGAGGTAGAGCATGATGGGAAGTGGGTGGATACTGGAGAGAAACATGAGGGGTCAAAGTAGCACCAAGAAAGAAGCCACTTCACACATGCTCAATCCTTTGCGGGATTTTAAGACCCTCTCTGACCAAAGAATTATCTTTTGAAATAACCTTGCTCCTAGCTGTGGGACACAGGATGGATTTCAAGGCAGTAGCAACAGAGCAGAAAGCTTTCATAATCCTCTACATGGGATGTTGTGACTAATACACGTGCAAGCTTATCCCAGCTTGCAGGTTAGTTTCTCACAAAGCAAAACACATCACACTCTCAGTCCAAAGAGCAGACTCCAGCCCTAAAGGGAGGGAAGCATCACAACCTCACACACTAATTGGATGCTGAGTTCTAGGGACAATGGGGATAGAGTTGAAGAAAGCATGTTCTCGGGGCCACCCTGAAAAACCTCCTAATTTAACCCCTTCATGTCTCAGTGTCTGTCTATGCAGTGGAAACAATCAGGATGTTCTTGGTAGGTGCTGGGCTCAGGACAAGTATCACACAACCCTATCCTCTACATTTCAAAAACATCTGTCCTCCAAGATTACTGTCCAAGCTCAGAAAGAACACAATAACCACAAAAATTGATTCAGCTACCTCTTAATTAATTTTAAAACTACAACTTCCATTTAGAAACCATCTCACTTAACATATATCCCTCTAATCTTGATCATCAGTGTTGACTTAGAGATCATACTTGGTATGTGCCTTATATCAACTCTTTCAACCCAGACATTAAAAATTAACTCAATGTGGCTCTTGCTTTCATGAGTACAGTACAAATCTTAGCATGTAATGTCCCTATTTAAAATTGTTCAAAGGTTCCCCAACCCATGATCTTTCCATAAGACCCAAGAATCTACATGGCCTGACACATCTAACCTTGGTGCCTCATCACCTCACCTGTCTCTATCTCTGTTATCCAGCAATGCCAAACTGGTCCTTTCCTCCTTGTTGCCCTTCCTCATGTTGTCCTAGAATCCTGGAAGATTCTTCTCTCCCTGACTGCCAGTTCAGCTCTGACACTACATCCTCTGGATGTCACCAATGGTCTCTTCACCTTACCTGCCAGAACTGACTCCATGCTGCATTCATCACCTGCACCCTGCTTTATCACTACACAGGTCACTTCCCATTACATCCATCACCATTTCTTGTCTCTTGAGACCTTCAGAGTGTGGGCACTCTGAGAACAAGAAGTGTCTTTGGACTACTCTAGAGGAAAAGCAACTTGGCACAACCCAAGACCAGTGAGAGACCCTGTCTCAAAGAAGACTGATAGTGTCTGAGGACAACATCCAAAGCTGTCCTCCTGACCTCCACACCCATGTATACAAATGTCCGCATGCATCTCACAAGTACACTCTTCTATTCCACTCTATGTCTCTCTCTCTCTTACACACACACACACATGTGCATGCACATTTTTAAAAGATTACAATGATAGATCCTAGGGAAAGGAAACCAGTTGGCCAAGAACAACTACCAAGAGCCATGGCAAAAGAAACTCAAAACCAACATGGTCTTCTAACCCAGAAGGACACAAAGGACAAAGTCCACCTTCTCCCTGGTAAGCCCTTGCTGACACCTAAATCCTACTCTCCTAGACTCAACCAAATTCACATCCACTCATCAGACATCCTTCAGTCCTTCAAACCCTTTCACCGGCTCATTTCGTCTTCAGATTGGAGTTAGCTGAATCTGCAGATATTCAACTTGATGTGGTACTTTATCTTCTAAATATCCACTCCCCTCCCGCAGGTCCTTTTGATGTAGACACCCCTCCTCCACTGATTCTGAGCTTCACTGAACAACTGGATCACACAAATGAAGGTAGGTAAATATGAGTGTCTGGTTCAGTTTCTGTCATCTTCGATGCCAACATGTCAAAGAGGGGACTGATCTAGCAAGTACAGACTACACATGAATCCATCCAAAGCCTGGAGCCAAAACTGAGGCCAGGTGATCCTGAAACAGGGTACTCCAGTCAACTCAGAAGCCCATGAATGGGAAAACAAATGCCTGCTCTTTCTAACCCCCCCCCCGTTTGCTATCCAATGCACTCTTGTAAAACGCTCAGCCAGTTGTCAGCATCTCACGTTTTCCTTTATCTGCATCATGTAATGACCCATCCTTCCCAAGCACAGTAGTGCAGCTGGGTCTCGGAATCTCCCTGAGGGCCCATCTGTGGCTCTCCCACCAACATGCATCCGGTACCCAGAGTCCAGTAGTAACCTGGCTGCCTTTGTCTGACTTCCCAGCAGCAACAGCGGTGCCACTCTAGTTCTCTTTTGAAGCTAGAAGAGTCGCCAGCTTCCTTCTTCTCCTCTCTATACCCAAGCAGCATGCAGAATGAGGTTGCCAGCAGGGGTGCCGGCTCAGCCCTGCGTTGCTGGCAGCTCCTTTCCATGTCCTCTTGGGCTGAAGACAGATGCTGTGTCTGCGCATATGGGTGGTAGTAACGAGAGAACCCTGTGGCTAAATGCAAGCCAACAGACAGCAGCAACACAGGCCAAAGTCCTCTTCCTAAACTGACGGTGGAACAAATGGCAAAAAAAAAAAGTCATTCTGCTGACCAGCACAAGAGAGATTACTAAAGCACCACTCTAGCTGTGGTAAGAAAATGAGAGGAAAGACAACAAAGAGCAAAAATCAAACAGAGTGAGGACAGAATTCCAACTTCCAGGTGAGAATCAATCTAGGTGACATCATTGGCCTTCCTAACAATCCATCAAAACATCATCAAATTCTGGTACCAAAAAAAAAGGTTTGAGTGTTGTAAATATCTGCTGTCTAGAGATGCTGGATGACATCCAGCAAGAGTTCTGGATAGCCAAGGTACCAAACTCGGGAAGTGGAAGAGGATGGTTGATTTGAACAAGCCCAAGGCAACAGAAAAACTGGAATTATTGGGTTTCAAATGGGCCTGTACAACAGGTACAATGAGCAAAGGCATCGGGACACACTCCCCAAGGTTATGCTGTATGTAAAAGAAATTCCGGGTGGCATTCATGTATATGTTGTACATCCACAGCCTTGAGATGTCAACCGATTCACCTATAACCTTCAGACCTTCTGAACCTTTGTAAATGATCTGAGTAACCAGTTCAGCAGCCACACTAACCTACATCAGATGGACCAGGCATTTCACACGAAGTTCTAGGGAATTCCCATTCACAGAAGCCTGACTTAATAGGTAGGAGAGCTCAGGAGTAGTGTGAGTAGCCCAAACCACATTAAAAAGTATGTGTTTGAACTGACACTTGGATTCTGGGTGTCAATGAAGCAGTATCTGAACAGATGTTAACTTCTTCTCCCTCCTTGCTTCCATTAAGGCTGGGCTGCAGAGATACTTGGGGGGGGGCAGACATCCAGGGAAGAGATTCTGGAGTTTGCTCATCAAGGTAGGAGAAAAAAGAAACAAAAGGGTTGGCAGTGGTGGTGCACACCTTTAATCCCAGTACTTGGATGCAGAAGCAGATGGATTTCAGTGAACTCAAGGCTAGCCTGGTCTACAAAGTGAGTTCCAGGACATCCAGAGATACACAGCAAAAAAAGGAAAGGAATCATTTATGGAAGACAGTTTCTGTAAGAAATTATTAGTCCAAGTCTGGTACTGATAAATAGTTATAGTCATGATACTTACAGTATGGAAGGCTGGTCTTTGGGCCACATATGAGCACTATTCCAAGGAATCCTGAGTCAATCCTTGGAAAGCAAGATACTGGAAGGAAAGCAAGATACACTGCCAGGAATTGAACACATGGCATACAAGCCACGTGGCCAACAGTGCGCCATTGCATCAGGTTTGCTAGCCAGAAGTAAGAGTAGTACGAGTCACCACATAAAGCAAGCAAAATCATTCTGAGATCACCAGAGCTCTACATAAGTTTTAAACCCAGTGTTGATGTGTGAGTCTGCAACACGTCAGGAAGAGCCAAAGAAAGCAAGGGCACTAAGAAAATAATAAAAGACACAACCCCTTTTTAATACAGCCTTTTAAATCGCATTCAGTGCCTACATGGCGATTCAGCTTCAGGCAAAGTTGTATCATTGAGACCTTATAGCTAGATATTCTATAAAACAGACATCTACACCTATTTTACAGGTAAGGCAGTTGAGGTTGGGAAAGATTAAGGACTCAATCCTACGGCTAGTAAAAGGCAACAGAAGGCTAGAGTCGTGGGCTTTTATTCCAATGCACAATGTCTGTTATTTTTTGTTTGAATTTTATTTTGTGAACAGGGTTTGTGATATAGCCCAGGCTGACCTCCAACTCTGGAACATGGTGCTTTTTACTATGCCAACCTTTCCATTTAGAGACAGAATGTGATCCTGGGTAAACACTCTCATGGTTTCCATTTCAGGAGATGCTGGGGAGGGAACATGTCATTTTGAGAGGTGAGCAGTTAATCCTGAAAGCACCTCCAGGGTCAGTGATAAGACTCAACATCACTCTGGATCACTATCCCCTCCCTCTCCATTTTGTTGACATGAATATTATTATAGATGTGGCTAAGAGAGGCTCATGAGACGTCTCAGATTCTATTGTCCATCCCCTTAGAAAGGGGAGATGCTTATGGAAACCCTCCCTTTCTGCCTGGAGTCAACATTCCTTGGGTGATTGCAGGGGACCCCTCTCCCCACCCGCCACCATTTGGAAGTGATTACCACTGAGATGCCCTGACAGAGTGAGTGATGCTGAGGGCTTGCTCCTGAATGCTGAGAGAAGAGCTTGCAGCGCTCTCCCCACCCCCAGCCCTTGGCACGCACTGCTATAGAGCTAGCCTGGAATCCCACTTGGATGCCGAGTTCCAAGGCTTGCTTTCCACTTTCTGATACACGGGATCAACTTTAATAACAAAAACCTGGCAAGTAAGGCCCCTCTGCCTAGCGAGGACTCCCAGTGGCAAAAATGAGCAAGTCCTGGGGTGGGGGCGGCAGGGCAGACTCTCAGCTCCCTTGTTTCCTCCCACTGGTGATTCAAGATGTAAGGGTACCCTGTGACCTTCCCCAGGTCTTCTGTCTCATGTCCAGTGACAGCAACCACTATGTGTGTGTGTGTGGTGACTTTCCCCCTTTTCTTACAGATACCCCCTATCCTTACATGCATTCCACCAAACTGTTTCTACAGACTGAACTTGAGTTTATGTTTTGGGTGTTTAGAGAAACCTCAACTATCCACATAGCTCTGCACAGCTTCTACAAACAGAAATGCAAAAGCCACCAGGACCCTGCAGTTCTGGATAGGCAAAAAAGACCAGCAATCCAAGAAAACCATCAGCTCCTGCGTCTCACATTAGATGGGCACAGCTTGACAAGCCAAATCACAGTAGTACAACTTCTATTCAGAAAGACAATCACTGCTTTGCAAGGTACCGGGAAGAAGGCATGCCCCACTCCACTCTGTAAAGAATAAACCCAGAAATTGGAAGGGTAATTGTCTACCCACCCTAAACAGTCAGCTCCCGAAAGACGCTTCATTAAGTGTTTGCAACAACTCACGGCACAAATATTTTTCCCATTGGCAGATGACCCAGGACCTCCTGAGCACAATACACTGCCGGCATTCTAGTGCAATAAGCAGCAGGTACCACTAGAATGTCAGTCTTGTGACTAGAGGCTGGTGCTGGCTTCTTCATCTCACAGTCTGGAGCTCTCTGAATTTCTGTTTGCTACAGCAGCCTTGAAGTCAGAGATGTGTGACACTCCACCAAAATCCATCCTAACCCTACCTGGCTTGCTTTTTATTTAGGAATAAATACCATGATCAAAAGCAATTTGGGAAGGAAAGGGTTTATTTGGCTGTATATTCTGATCACTATCCCGTGTTTGATATTGCTCAGAGAGAGATTACATTGCACTATCATCCCAATTTTTCACATAAAAATCAGGTATGCTTACCATAGCAGATAAACGAACATCATCTGGTTATAAGTCATTCAAGTCTTCCAATGAATGTCTGGGACTATGTCCCTTCATTAAGCATCTGGGCTCTGTAACAGGGGAAGTGACATTCTATAGTTTCCCACACCAGGTTTGAAATGACTAGCATCTATCTCCTATCTCTTAGATCATTCCTGTTTGGAACCCAGCCTCCATATTAACAGTATACCCAAGCAACCCTTCATACAGAAAAGCAAACATGGAAAGGAAACGTGACTACCCGTCAACTCCAGAAGTCAAGCAAACCTTCACATACAAGAACACATGGAAAGGAAGCCTGTCCACACCTCAACTCCAGAAATCAACAGCCCTGCCTGAGTCCCCAGGCAAGAGCCAGGAAACACATACATGCGCCATCTTGGAAACAGACCCTCCCTTCCCCATGGAGCCATTGACAAGCCACCTTTGCTGGGCCCCACCCAAATTGCAGCTTTACTAACAAAATAAATAGCTGTGGTTGTTTCTAGGGTTGGTGTTCTACGTGACAATAACTAACAGGAATTCAAACTGAGATTTATGATGCTATGGGAAGAAAGTTGACTATGTACAGAGAAATTAGCGTTTTCAACCACAACTCTAGTTCACACGAATGGATGTAACAGGAAAAGTGGGTTACCAGAACAAGCAGCATTCTAGTCTATCTTCTTACTGTTCAGTGGAAGAAGGCCCATCATGCCCAGTCCATTCAAGCCACACACCAGTTCAGCCTGCACACAATTATAAGCATGAGGTCCACTAACAACATGATAATGAAGACTTACTGATCAAGCAAGTCTTAAAAGTAAGATTTTTACATTCAGATAACATTAGTAAGAATTTCAAGAGAAGGCCAGGGAAGTAAACCAAGAAGTTGGCCACATAGCTTTGTGGCCCAGCTGATTCATACTATTATGATGACTATAGGCTCATCTCCTCTGCAGCTCGACTCAGCCTGTCTGACAGCTTCATTTAGAAGACACCAGTCTCATGAGCCACACTTAGCAGAGAACAACCAACTTCATAGTTAATCACTCGTGTGCAACCTCTCTCCTTCCTTTTTATTTTTCTCTTCTTGTGCTTTTTATTGGGAAAGTGTATGAAAAGCGTTTAAGAAAAGCAATAAAAGGGGGGTTGGTAACCCCCTTGCAGAACTGAAGACTTCAGGAAACTGTTGCTACCCTTGGGCCTGAAGGGATAAGGGGCAGGCATTGGTCACTGGGACCCAAAGAGAGTGTAGAGTACGAATACAGATACAGGATAGCTCCTATGGCTTCTGTACAAGGCAGAATCAAAAGGGAGGGTCACGTGAATAACTATCCACTTTCATTCTCCTTTCCCTCAGCACCCCAATGGAGTGAAGCCAGAGAACAGGGGAGCATTGAGGCAGGCCCCATCAGCTAGCATCAGGCACATGTATCAAGGACATGCTTCCTTTGAAATCAGCGTCTTTCCATGAGTCCCTGAAGTTAGTCACATGGCATCACCCTTGACTGCCATATCCACGCTGGTCTCAGAAGTCAGGACTGAGCTGAGCAGCTGAGGGGATGGAGGAGAGAATGTAAAGGAATGTTAGCAGCAAACATAAAGAGGATGGCAAGCCAGCTCCCAAGCAAACATCGCCACAAAATGACACCTCCTTGAGAAATAACTACCGTCCTAGACATAGGAGTGGAAGGTGCCCTTGCTGAGGGGGGCAGGGAGCACAGGGGAAATGGCTGAGATTTCTCCAGGGCAAAGCAAGCCCTGGCCAAGAGAGCACAGGAGAACTTTTCTGGGACCTGCTTCTATGGACCAGACTCCCAACATGCTTTGCAACAACTCTATCCACTCACTTTTTTGCTTCTGTCATCCATGGAGGTTACTTCCAGGTGTGTGGTGCATTTCCCCAAGTCACCCTTTCCTAAAGGCCTGACGTAAGCAGGAAGCCCTGTAACAGACTCATGTCCTCTACCCTGCTCTCTGCCTTGTTGACCTATTTTCCTCTTTGCACCCTAGCTTCTCTTCCTCCGTGTTTTATTTCTGCAAGTTTCATCTACTTAAAAAAGTATTTGTCAAGATCCTTACTTCTTTCCCTTTGCCTCTCATTCAGTAGATTCACTCTCTTTTCAGAGAGACCTGGGTTTCTAGGCCCTCGAGTCTTCTATGGCTCAGCAGCTTCTCCCTTTGAGCAGCACTAAGAGTCTCATTCCTGCAGTAGCCTAACATGCCTTCACACATTGAAAAAGCCACTCAGTTGTTACTAGAACGACAGACTAAGGGTCCAGCTAACAGAAATATATATATATGTGTATATATATGTATAACCAATGGCATCCACTGTAGTTTAGAAACACACCCACAGACAGATCCTCATCAGTCCATCCAGAAGCTGTGGCCATCAACAATATTAGCCTGGCTAATATCCTTTCTCTGTCACCTATCTCCAAGTTTAGGGAACAATTAGATACCCTGTCGAAGAAAGGACAGCTGGGAGCCCCACCTTTTTCTCTTTGCTCACGTCCTGATGGAGATGTCTCATCAGTTAATTCTGCTCCCCCTTCCCAGGTCTGCTTCTTCTGTCTGCCCTTTCTATTTTAAGCTCCACCTCTCCCTAACTACTGAGACCTACACTAGGGATATGGGACCATACAACAATCCCCCTCACCCTCCTCTGGGTTGGCCCCACCTACCTTCCCCAAACTCCCCTCTCCCAGAATCTCTACTAACAAGCAAAGGTGCTGTAGACCAAGTGTTTCCTTTCATCTCCACCCACTCCAACCTTGGTGGAAAGCCCTGGGGACAGCAGCACAGGAACTTCAGAAATCCTGAGCATAGCTTTGTACTTTGAATACTGGCTTTGAAGTGTGTGCTAACAGCAGTAATTGGCATTATGGAAGGTTAGAAAAAATTGCTTGTAGGTAAAGAGCCAACAATGTGAAAATTATCCAAGTCGAGTTGTATTTGGCCATTAATCCAATACTTGAAAAGTAAATCCTTGTCACCACGACTCCTCGTTGGTCTGTAACTCAGCACAGTGTTCCATGATTCTGCATCTCACAATCTTGAGGACTTGCCCCCTGTAGCCAGTAAGAGATACCTCAAAACTATTATGATGACACCAGAAGGGTTTGAAGAGGCCTATTTACTCCTGGCACAGATGATCAATAATATCCCTCTGCCCTCTTCTAGAAGTTTAATGTCAGCATCTGGGAGTTGACCCTCACCAGAGTGTCACCCACAAAAGTGACAGAGAACACCCCTCTCAGCAGCATGGGTTTTACATGAAGGTTATGCTGGACTAAGATTCAGGATACTGACAAGAGAGACAGTGACACTCCTGTGGGCTTCTTGTAGAGTGCCAAGGTCAAGGTCAGAACTTGGTGAAGTCATCCTCCTTGCCCACATTCTATGGACATAGGGAGTAGAGGAGATACTCCATTCCTGGCAGGAAGAAGGCTTTCCTCTTAGAGTGAGTGGCCTAAATGGTGATTTCTTGTGTGTGCGTGCAAGTAGAAGGAAGAGCCCTTAGCACTGAAAGAGACAGGTGGACCTTAGATATGCAGGGGCTACACACTACATTGCCTCTCAAGCCCTGAGTACTCATGCTGTGAGCTGGTGATGGGAAAGTGGATAAAGGAACAACAGAGAGGCTGGGAGGCCAGCATTACTGCCACAAGGCACAGGGACAGAGCACAGCATCCAACTTCAGGAGTAGCCATCAATGGTGTCCACCTAAGAGACGTCCAGTCCTGGGGTCCTGACATCAGATGTCAGGTCCTATGCTAGTGGCCTCACAGTGTGCATCTGTGGCTGGAGGGCTGTTGGGTCCTCCCAGCTATGTCATTAGTGCAGATTACTGGAGAGAGGTGCTGGGCAGGAGAGAAAGGCAGGGAGTAAGTTCACTTGCTGACTGGGGCTGTCAGGCTGAGGTTCATATCAAAACTGAGCCAGAGGTGGAAATTTCACAGTTCCTCTACACATGTGTATATGAACATGCCACTTGAGGCCCTGGTGCCCTCAGAGTAACACACAGGGAGTATCTGTGGAGCCAGATGTGCCTATAATTTCACAGGATAGGAGAACACGGAAGGAGGCAATTGCGGGGGTTGGAGGTATGAAGAAAGCCCAGCTCTTCATTCTTCAGCAGCAGCTCCCTGCCTGGGTTGCAGTGGGCACACGGCCTGGGTGAGGTCTCTGTTCTCCGTGGGACTGTGGTGTGCCTCCCAAAATGTACACTGCACTGCTGAGGAGTGCGGGTGAGTTTAGTAAAACCAAAAGAAGAAAAAAGCTGGACCAAGTGCCCTGAATAAGATTACTTGTGACGCTGTTGATGGTTATAATTTGCTTGAGAAGTCAGTAAACAGTCCTTCTCACGTCTGTAAATGCGACCCTCAGTATAGCACCTGGTGTATGCATCGTGCACACTGAGCCCTTGATGGTGTGGGTTGTCCTGTTTGTCTGAGAGCTGCTCTGAATTTGTGGGACCCTGTCAGAGTAATAGTGCAGACACCAAAACTCAAAGACTTCCAATTCTGTGTTGTGGGTATATGTGCATGTGTAGGTTCATATATATGCAGGTACATGTATTTACAGCTGTGCACACACAGCGTGTATGTCCACATGGAAGCAAATGCCAACTTTGAGTGTTGTTCCTCAGGAGCCTTCCACATTGCTTTTTGAAACAGGGTCTCTCACTTGTCTTCATTCACCAAGTAGGTAAGGCTAGCTGGCTAGCGAGCAATGAGGATTCATACGCCTCGGTATATGTCACCATGATCAGCATTTTTCTTTTTCTGCTTGTTGCTGTTTGTCTGTCTGTCTGTCTGTCTGTCTGTCTGTCTGTCTGTTTGTTTAAGGTGAGTTCTGAGAGATGATATCAGGTACTTACATTTGCAAGGCAAGTACTTTATCAACCCAGCCATCTCCTCAGGCCCAATTTAAAGCTCTCTCTCTCTCTCTCTCTCTCTCTCTCTCTCTCTCTCTCTCTCTCTCTCTCTCTCTCTCTCTCTCTCTCTCTCTCTCTGTGTGTGTGTGTGTGTGTGTCTGTGTAGAGGAACTCTTGTACAGGGAGGAGTGAACATGCCTATGGAGACCCGAAGTTGACTCTGATAGTCTTCCTCGATCACCCTCCACCTTATTCTTTAAGGCGGGGTCTCTCAAATGACCCTACTCAGCTAGCTCTGAGGGTCCCCTCTCCACCTTCCAAGTACTGGACGCAGGTGGCTGCCGCAGCCACCCAGAATTTGAACGGGTTCTGAGTACCTGAATTCCAGTCCTTGCATGGGAATTGGTGAGCACTTTGGCCACTAACATTTCCCAGTCCCCAATTCTGTTTTCCTTTTTTTCTGTTTTTTTTTTTTTTTAACTCCGGAGCAATACAATGGTCCACTAAAACAATTAATACTCCTGCTACTTCAACTGTGGCCAACGATAGGCGATAACACCCTGCATACTTTTAGAAGATAAAGAGGCCCAGGAGGCAGCAGTGTGGACAGCTTTTATTCTGAATGAGCCCTTCTTTACATAAGTTTGGGTCTTCAACTTCAGAACAAGATGAAATGAGAATCTACTTATTCTTTTAAAAAAAGTACTAAGAATGATGAGCTGGTCTGCCCATCAGAGCATTTTGGATCTATGAGCTGGAGCTTTGACCTTGGGAGAAAAAGCTAAAGCCACGCTGGGTTCCACTGGGTACCACTGTAACATAGCCCAAAACATGAAGCATGATAATATAAGAGGATGAAATCCTTCTGAGTAGGGCTGCGGGCCCAGAAGATTTCTGCAAACTATTATCTAATTTGATTCCTCTCGTTGCACTGCAGGGGGATTTAAAACACATCACCTCCAGCTGAAATGGGTTCTGGTAAATTTCTGGAGAGCTCTTGCGGATCTCACGTCATCCTCTGGGTTCGGGGTCAAGGCTACATTAATGACCCACCATTTATCCACTGGGTAATTCACTCTCTGGCAACCTATTTTATTTATGCTGCGTAAATTCAGGAAGCAATTAATAGTTGCCACAAAAGCAACGTGACTCGGGGTGTTTTTCTCAATAAAACTTTGAAAAGAGGCACTTCTCTTTCCCCAAGACAGAGAAGGAAGCAAAATGTTTGGGAGGGTACTAAATCATTCCGTTATAGGTTCTGTCTTTCTGCTGCTGGCTGGAAAGAAGCAGGGGTAGCTTCCGGTCTTTCTTAGCACCATAGTGGAAACTCCTTTTCAAAGGAGAAATTTGTTACTGACACTAGTCCCTGCTACCCATTTCTTCTTTCTTCTTTTGGTTTTTTGAGACGGGGTTTTTCTGTGTAGCCCTGGCTGACCTGGAACTCACTCAGTAGACCAGGCTGGCCTCAAACTCCGAGATCTGCCTGCCTCTGCTTCCAGAGTGCACCAGGGTTAAAGGTTTGCGCCACCACCCAGCTTCAGTGCTACCCTTCTGACATCCTGTTCACGTTAGTGTTCTGTTCAGCAAAGAATAGTTTAGTAATAACACGATAAAATCAAGAACAAAGAGCAATTTATCCATTAACCAAAACCAAATTATCTTACTGAAGGGGAAAAAAAGATAATGATTTGGGTTCTTTAATACTGATGAACCCACCACCATGTAGGCAAGAGACTTTACCCATGGGCAGAAAGGGACCGTGTCTGTGCTGGTGCAGGGCAGCACAGGTCACAGAGAAGCCATTAGCTGACTTTGGATTTGCGGGAGCTTCGAAAAGTGCCATCTTGCTTCTCCCAGCTTTCCAAAGACTCTTAGGCTTTCACCCTCTGCCTTATGGCCCTACACTCACTTTCCTGCCTGGACTGATGATGAAGCCATAGGAAGAAAAGCTTAGGGGTGAGGACTGGAAAGAAGGGATACAGAAAGAGAGTGGGGTGCTGGTGGCATCTGTGGGCCTCCTGAGCACCTCTATATGGAATGTCTCCAGACTTCACAGGAAGACACCTCTCTGGTCAAACCTGTGAGAATAGGTTTTCTGTTATTTGGAGCTGAACATATTTCACCTGAGATTCATATCTCTGTACCCCTCCCTCTTCCTATCTGTTCCTGCCCCTCCCTTCTTCCATACACATACATACATACATACATACATACATACATACATACATACATACATATGCACACAAACCCCAACATCCACTAAACCCAGAGCAGGAAATACAGGCATGCCAACACAATAAAGAATATCCTCAACTTTGACTGGGGAGAAGGCTCAGCAGGTAAGGTGCTTGCTGTGCAAGCATGAGGAACTGGGTTCAGATCCCTTGTACCCACGTAGACGCTAGGAATGATAATACAAATCTGTAATGGCAGTCAGTGCGGGGGAGGCAGACATAGGAGGATTCCAGGGTCAGCCAGTACAGTCAGTTAGTCAGTCAGTGAGTTCTGGGTTCAGTTGGACACCAGGGGAAGGGGGGAGGGAGAGGGAGAGAAAAAAAACAATAGAGCAAGACAAAGACCTCTGGCTTCTACACACACATACGCATGCAAACCCTACACAGAGATGAAAGAAAGGAAGAGAGAGAATGCCAACTTTAAACCTCATTCAAAATTCAAAAGCCATCTATTTTTCCAAAAAAAATCTAGAATGGTCTCCAAGCTCTACTTAAGAAATGCCATCTTTGCATTATTTATAAAACACACACAATCATGAGAAAGAATGAGATACAACAGTGAAGATCTGAAAATGAGTAAAACTGAAAAAATGAAAGACTTTTAAAACTAATAGACACGCCGGGCGTTGGTGGCGCACACCTTTAATCCCAGCACTCGGGGGGCAGAGGCAGGCAGATCTCTGTGAGTTCGAGACCAGCCTGGTCTACCGAGCGAGTTCCAGGACAGCCTCCAAAGCCACAGAGAAACCCTGTCTCGAAAAACCAAAAAAAAAAAACTAATAGACACATAAAAGTATAGTGACACAGACAATATGTATATATATATTAATAATAAATTCCATCCTTACAAAGATGGGATTTTGATTATAGGAGCAACAATATGTGAGGATACCCTTAGAAAAGTTATGTGTGGGACCATCATTATGAAACCTTCACAAGGGGATACAAAAACAGATTTAAATAAGTGGAAAGACATTCCTCTCCCAAAGCTTAAGATAATTCCAGTCAAAATTCCAATCATATTACTTCTTTAACTTGACAAAATGAATAAAAAACACAATGAATTGAGAAGAAAAAACCCCTATGTTGATGAATCCTTACTCTGTCCAGGTAGTAAGTATAAATTATAAAGAGGCAAAAGCTAACAGAGTATGGATCTGTCAAAACAACACATCAATGGTATGAGTTAAGTAGACTTGAATTCACCTAAGGATAAGAGAGTTCAAAATATGATAGAAAAATCAATAGACGTAGGTTAAGTGACAAAAGATGTCAAGAGATGACACTTTGAAGGATAGCAAGGTAACTTCCTCATTTGAATATGTGCAGTCATAATTCTAAATATATGGAACGACCAAACGGAAAAAGCCAAGTCAAAGATATTAGTGTAAACTACAGGGGACCGAGGGCTTGGAAGATGGCTCAGTGGGTAAAGTGGGAGCCACAGAAAATGAAGACTTGAGTCTGGATTCCCAGTAAAGGCCAGACACTGTGGAATGCGCCTGTAACCTCAGCACTAGAGGAGCAGAGACAGAGGATCATGGTGGCTCACTGGTCAGCCAATCCAGCCCAAACATCAAGCTTCATCATCAGGTGGAGGCCCTGTCTCAGAAATCCTCATGTCAGCTTCTGGCCTACACACACATCTGCACAGATGAAGACACCAGCATACTCTCCCATACACAACACATACACACACGTGTACATACAACTACTGGAAGCCACAAGGCTCTATCGCATACCATATCTGTCATGTCTGTTTATCTCTCAAGTCTTTATAAGCAAAAAGCGGTGGATTAAAAAAAAGTCCAAGTCTTTCCATATGACCCAGCAGTCATGGCCTTTATTAACGACCCACAGGACCAAAACCTGTGTCCACACCAAAAACTACAGGTCTAAAGGAACTTATTCACAACTGGCAAAACTTGGAAGCAACTAAAATGTCCTCTTGGAATGGATTAAAGTTGAGTGATTCTTTGGTTTTGGTTGGTTTGCTCGTTTTGGTTCTTTGGTTTTGTTTGTTTGTCTTTGCAATGAAAACAAGTGAGCTGTCAAGCCATGAAAGGCATGGAGGAAACTTCATATTCCTAGCTCAAGGAGCCAGTCTGACGAGGTCACATACCATGATCCCATCTGCCCAAGTTCTAGAGAAGGCAAATCTTCAGGGACAGTTGAAGGGTTCCCTTCCACTCTGGCCTGCCCAGTCTCCTGCCTTCACTATGGTTTTCTTCATTCCCAAGGAGGTAAAGGGAGGAAGAGATGCAGAGTCACAACACAGAGAACCCTAGGACAGTGAAGCAGCCTGGCATAATGCCATGACTGTGGGTACACGTCATCATACCACTGCATAGACTATCCAACTCCAAGAAACAACTTTAGTATAAACTACAGACCCTGGGACTACAACATGCTGAGGTATGTTCAACTATAACATGGGTGACACTCTGGAGGGAAATGGTGGTAATGGGAAATGTCTGGTAGATGCAGGGACAAGAGAAATCTCTGCATGGTCAGCTCACTATGATTGTGAGCCTGAAAATGCTCTAAGATGTTATAGTTAACAAGGAAAAAATGAGTATAATCTCATAGAAATTCTGGGAAAGTAACTTAGAAACAAATAGAAGGAACTTCTCAAAACATGAATGTGTATGCCATTATCATCCCTTTAATAATGAATAGAATCCAAGCTATAACAATATATTTAAGTATATGAAATATTACACAACCATAAAAAATGGCACAGCCACTTAGAAGACAGTTTGACATATATAAATATATATACATTAACTAACCATATTATTTTCATACAATCAAGCAATCATGTTCTTTGGTATTTATCCAAAGAATTTAAAACTTGTCCACACAAAACATGATGTTTGTTAGCCACCTAAGTGTTATTTAATAGTGTAATTGGTTACATTTTTCTATGACTCAATTTCATAACCATTCAAGTCAAACATTCAAAATCTGGTGACATGTTCACAACATAATGTTAAATGAAAACAGATGTTTGTGAGACTGTATATGCAACATGAACAAACTCACAAAAAGCAGACAAGTAAAACATGTAAAAATGTGCCAGGCAGTGGTGGCACATACTTTTAATCCCAGCACTTGGGAGGCAGAGGCAAGAGGATCTCTGTGAGTTCAAGGCCAGCCTGGTCTACAGAGCGAGTTCTAGGACAGTTAGGGCTACACAGAGAAGCCCTGTCTCAAAAAAAAAAAAAACAATAAAACAAAAAATGGCAAAAAAAAATCCCTAAGAATAAGTGGGGGAAAAGACCAGAAATACACCAAGGTTACTTGAAGGTAATCTGAATAACAGGGTCAGAATGACATCATTCATTTTCTTTGTGTTTTTATTATCTTTTAAGCCTGCCCCAATAAACACTGTAGCATTCAACCACATGAACCTTCATGATAACTAAGGTCTTAAGCACAGACTAGTGTCATTTTTAGCCACTGAGAAAGCGTTCAATATAGGCAATGTACCCCATTTGTTTTCTCTGAAAATCAAGATCCAGGATGAGGGCAGACCATGTGCGTATGAAGCCTTTTAAGACTGCTAATGAGTAAGGGGTGCCACTTAGGTGGTGACAATCACATTCTAAAATGAAAATCAACGTGATAGTCTTTCAGCTCTGAATATGTTAAAAATCTACTGAAATGTACAATTCAATAAAAGACTGACTCTTGGGACATGTGAGTTATATCTTAATAAACCTTTTTAAAATAAGCCATATGATTCAATTCCTCTCTCTGTGTAGTAATGTATTTCCTCCCAAATTTTCTATTTCATACCATATCTAACTTCCAGAATAAACTTTCTAATACTGCTATCGGTTCAATCATCAAATGCCCACTGTGTCTTACCTCCCATCATAAATGACTGACTCAAAGGAACGAAGACCTGAAACTAAGGAAACTCCCACCAGAAAATATGAGGAAGTCTTCATGATTTTGATAATGGGATTACTGGATATTAAAGAAAAGAGACCAAAATATACTGAATGGAAAGGAAGGGAGGGAAAATAAGAAGAAAAGGAAGGAAGGGAGGGAGGGAGGGAGGGAGGGAGGGAGGGAGGGAGGGAGGGAGGGAGGGAGGGAGGGAGGGAGGAAGGAAGGAGAGAAAAGACATCCTCAGATAAAATCAAGAAAATAAAAATCTACAGAATGAAGTAAAAAAACTATAGGTCATAGAAGTAATAAGAGCCTGGAATCCAGAAATAGAAATAATCTTGCAATTCAAACACAAAAATGCAAAGTGTAAGCCCTAGTCAATTAAAAGTTAAACAAAGAAATTAAATAGACATGTCTTCGAGGATGACATGCAAATGGCTAATGAACATATGAAAGGATGCTCAACACCATTAGTCATTAGAGAAATGCTAATCAAAACCACAAAGGGGACCACTTCATACATACTAGTATGGCAACAATCCAAGAAAGAAGAAAGTGTTGGTGATGAGAAAGCCTTGCACATTGTTGATAAAAGCACAAGGGCAGTGCAGATGCTATAGAAACCACTGTGATCATCCCAGAAAGCTAAAAACATGGAATCGTCAAACTACCAAACAGACCCACTCTACTTAACAGGGCACAAGTCAGTCCTACTGTACCCAACAGGGTTGGAAAAAAAAGCGTTCAAACAAAACTGTTCATAGCTGTTCATGGCAGCATTTCATGTAACCGTACAACAATGGAAATAATCCAAATGTCTATCAAGAAATGGGTGATAAAATGTGGCACAGAGAGAAGTGGCTACTATTCAATTGTAAATATATACAGCTGTACTCACCACAATGTGGAGGGGCCTTTAAGACACCATACCAAGTGAAAGAAGCCACACTTGAAGACCACCACCACAAGATTCAATAGACGTAAACTACACAGAATAGAAAAATATGCAGAAACAGAAGCAGAGAGGGTTTGTCTGAGACTAGAGTGGAATGAGAAATCAGAGTGGCTCATTAATGAGTACAAGATTGTCTTCAAGGATGATTGAATGATTGGAATTAGATCACAGTGACGGTTATATAAAATTATGAATATATTCAATACCACTGAGATTTTTACATTTTAAAATAGCTAAAATGGTAAAAAAAAATTTTAATCTTCCGATGTATCCCTGGTTGCTGTAAAACACTATACACACCAGGCTGACTTTGACATTGCAATGATCCCCCTGCCCCTGCCTGGATTACAGGTGTATACCACCATGCCCAGGTTCATGTCATGTGCCTTTTATTCAAAACAGAAAGACCCCACTGTAGTTCTTCATTTAGGCTTTGAATGGTCTTGCTCCCACCTCATCTTCTCTGGGTTTCAATTCGTTTTTTACTCTGTTCCAATCCAGTGTGCTCTTGTTCTTCCTGCTGTGTCCAAATCCAGTCTGTGAATTCCAAAGTCCATTTCCCCCAAATGCCTTTCTTGTGGCCTGTAACACCTCCCTTACTCTTCTACCTTACAATATATTGGAATCTAACAGAGCCAGGTTCTGTTGCCAGGCCAGGCCACCATTGACTAGTTGTCTTGTCTTCTCTAAACTTGAAGTGAGCAACCAAATTTAACTAATAAATGTATGTATTAGATTTCTAGTTCTTGCTTTATATTATACATTATAGAGTAGTTCTGGTAATAAAACATAAGATATGATATCTAGGGCTGTATCTCAGTGGTATAGCATTTGTGTAGTATGCATAAGGCTCCATGTTCAATCCCAAAGCACCAAACCTACATAAAATCATGGTATCATCTACACAATGTTCCCAAGTTTCCAGAATGTTCACACAGCAGAGCTAGTATGTTCCATGTGCCTCTTACCTGTATAAATAAAACCTACTATTTGCTACCAACTCTCTTATTTCACTTAAACAGACGTATTTTAAAAGAGAAACTATAAAAATCAGTATGATATCTTCGGTTTGTCTTCTAACTTTTTCATGCATGGTAAAAAAAAATTAAAGGCAGGGCAATTACAATATTAAGTGTGCACCTGAATGATGTTAGTGACATCCGTGCTGTCACTAAGTACACAGAGGACATCAGGCTCTGCCCATTGCCCCTAGTGGCCCAAATGCAGTGATCGTCTCTGGAAACCTCTCATACTCTGCTTCCAGTCCACTGTAGACTCTTTGTATCCTGTGTGATCAGCCCTGGCAGGTTCAGTGCCCACCATGTCACTTCTGTTCAAATTGGTGACATTGTCCTCAATGCTTTCGAATCTGCAGCTCCAGTTCTTGTGTCAGAGTACAGACACCTTGTTTTGTTTTTGTTGTTGTTATTTGCTTTTTATTATTCTCTGCATAGGTCCAATTACAGTGCAAAAACATTTTCTGAATGGGTGAAAGTCGAATCCAGGAGCAGTGCCTGTCAGGTGTTTATGGTCATCTTTTCTGTCTTATTCCTAATAATGGAGAAAAAAATCCTCCACATTATTTCCTAATTTTTTGTGACCACAAAGCTTAGCAGCCACCAATAAATGGGAAAAATAACTGATGGCATGAGAAAATAGAGTCGGTAGCTGATGCCCTGAATGTATTTGATAGATTTTACAAACTGGATATTCAATGAAGGGATGATTACTAAGCAGGCCCTGAGTGCTTAGACAGACTATCTTCAGAAGTGAATGAACAGAGACTTGCCAGCATGAGAAGACTAATGTCCACTGGGGGCTGGACATGAGAACTTTATGAAGGCCTAGACCACACACCTGAACCCAGGACTCTGGCCAAGGCCTCATTCCCCAGGCCCAAGAACAGCCCTCTTTCCTGAGGAGAGGCCCAGCCCTCAACTTGATTCCTAATTAGAAGTAAATCCCTATAAGACCAGAGAGTCTTTTCGAGTCCACAGTGCATTTTGGCCATGAATCTCAAAGCACTGACAAAAGACGCCGCAAGTGAAATTACTGATTGAATACATCCAGACATGGAGCAATCCTTGTGTCAATGTTGACACAGCGGCTCTATACGGTCCGGCTCCGGGACGGCAGGCGAGAAGCAAAACCACCAGAAATGTGGGGGAGAAAAGGATACTGTGGCTGCAGAAGAGTAGAGTCTCAGAATCATAAAATAACTGTAAATATTAACAATTGTTCATAGCCCTAACGGTACATAGCTCTTTAGAGTCTACAAACCATCAACAAGATGGCATCACTACTCACCAATCTCTTGCCAACCCTAGAAGACATAATGTGCCACTTTTTCACAAAGAAACTGAATTTCAAAGGGTGTCTCGACTCTTGTTTTTCTGATGCCAACTCCAGAGGTCTTCTGGTCTCAAAGTCAGTTGTGCCAGCATTCTCTTGTGTACTAAACTATAGTAGATAGCAAACTAGTATTTACTAGAAGAGGGGTGTTTGATACCTTCTGTTCCGGCTTTACAACAAAAGACTTACCCCAAGATGAAAGGTGACA